TCCCTCCAACTCATAATTGGAATCCCTCGCCCCAACAAACAAAACCAAACACAAAATTCTCTCTCTTACACACAAACAAACAAACAAACAAACACAAACACAAACAAACAAACACAAACGTAAACACACACACACACACAAACAAACAAACACACGACATCCCTCCAACTCATAACTGGAATCCCTCGCCCCCAACAAACAAAACCAAACACAACATTTTCTCTCTCTCACACACAAACAAACACACATAAACGTAAACACACACACAAACAAACAAACAAACACACGACATCCCTCCACCTCATAATTGGAATCCCTCGCCCCAACAAACAAAACCAAACACACAAACTCTTTTTCTCACACACAAACAAACAAACAAACACACACACACAAACACAAACGTAAACACACACACACAAACAAACAAACAAACACACGACATCCCTCCACCTCATAATTGGAATCCCTCGCCCCAACAAAAAAACCAAACACACAAACTCTTTTTCTCTCACACACAAACAAACAAACAAACACACACACACACAAACACAACGTAAACACACACACACAAACAAACAAACACACGACATCCCTCCACCTCATAATTGGAATCCCTCGCCCCCAACAAACAAAACCAAACACACAAACTCCTTCTTTCACACACAAACAAACAAACAAACATACACAAACACAAACGTAAACACAAACAAACAAACAAACAAACACACGACATCCCTCCACCTCATAATTGGAATCCCTCGCCCCCAACAAACAAAACCAAACACACAAACTCTCTCTCTCACACACAAACACAAACGTAAACACACACACAAACAAACAAACAAACACACGACATCCCTCCACCTCATAATTGGAATCCCTCGCCCCAACAAACAAAACCAAACACACAAACTCTTTTTCTCACACACAAACAACAAACAACACACACACACAAACACAAAACAAACAAACAAACACACGACATCCCTCCACCTCATAATTGGAATCCCTCGCCCCAACAAACAAACCAAACACAAAACACACAAAACAAACACACACAAACACACACACACAAACAAACACGTAAACACACACAACAAACAACAAACAAACACACGACATCCCTCCACCTCATAATTGGAATCCCTCGCCCCAACAAACAAAACCAAAACACACAAACAACCACACACAAACAAACAAACAACACACACACAGTAAACACACACACACAAACAAACAAACAAACACACGACATCCCTCCACCTCATAATTGGAATCCCTCGCCCCCAACAAACAAAACCAACACAACAAACAAACAAACAAACACACGACATCCCTCCACCTCATAATTGGAATCCCTCGCCCCCAACCCGATTCCAATATCACGTAATTTAAGGTCATCTGCATCGGGTTAACAGTGTCATGAGGATCCATCAGTGACGGTTCATTGCACTAATGTATGCTCGACGACACAGCGGAATGGTGGAATGAGAGGTCGGTGCGAGAATGAGATGTGGGGGTGGGTTCTGTGGCTTTTTTTGTGGTGTGTGGGTGTGTGTGTGGTGTTCGTTGTAGGTGTGTGTGTGTAGGGGTGGGAGGGTGTCTCTTTTCTCTCTCTTTCTCTCTCTCTTTTCTCTCTCTCTCTCTCTCTCTCTCTCTCTCTCCTCTCTCTTCTCTCTCTCTCTCTCTCGGTCTCTCTCTCTCTCTTCTCTCTCTCTCTCTTTCTCTCTCTCTCTCTCTCTCTCTCTCTCTCTCTCTCTCTCTCTCTCTCTCTCTCTCTCTCTCTCTCTTCTCTCTCTCTCTCTCTCTCTCTCTCTCTCTCTCTCTCTCTCTTCTCTTTCTCTCTCTTCTCTTCTCTCTCTCTCTTCTCTCTGCTTATATTCATAGAATAGATAGATAGATAGATAGATAGATAAAGATAGATAGATAGAGATAGATAGAAGATAGATAATAGAATAGATAGGTAGATAGATAGATATAGATAGATAAATATAGATAAGATAGATATAGATAGATAGATAGATAGCTAATACTAGATAGATAAACAGATAGATAGTCTTCACATCCCTTTCCTCTATTTTCTTCCTTACAAAACCCACTTCCCTTCACTTCTCATCCGTCTTTCTCGTCCCAAATAAGTATAGACTCCCCTGCCGTTACTAATCTTCGAGCAACTAGACAGGAAATTAATTACTTTCTGCAATTTATCTAAGAGCAGGCCGCCCCCCCCCCTCCCCTATCCGCCTCCCTTCCTCCTCCTCCCTATCCCCTCTTCCTCCCTTCCCTCCTCCTCTATCCCTCTTCCTCCCTTCTCCCCCTCCCCTCTTCCTCCCTTCCCTCCCCCTCCCCTATATCCCCTCTTCCTCCCTTCCCTCCCCTCCCCTATCCCCTCTTCCTCCTCCCTCCTATTCCCTCCTCGTCCACTCCCTTCCCCTCGCTTCCGGTCCCTTATTCTCTCTCTCGCTTCCCTTCGTTCCTCTTCCTCTTACGTTACTTGCATTCTTCTCTCCTCCTCTTTCATATCTTTTCTCTCTTTCTTCTTACCCTTCTTTATTCCATCTTTTCCCTATCCCCTGCTTTCCTTCTTCTTAATTCTTTCTTCCTCCCTTCACATCCCTCTTCCATCTCACTTACTTTCCTCTTCCCTTCTCTTTCCCACTCCCTTTCGCTTCCCCTCTCTTCCTTCTTACTCTTCCCCTCTTTCCCCTCACTCTCTTTCTCTCCTCTCTTTCACCTCCCTTCTCACTCTCTTTGCTTCCCCTCTCTCCCTCTTTCACCTCCCTTCCTTCCCCTTCCCCCTCTACCCCTCGTTCCTCCCCTCACCTCCTACTCCCACCCCCACCCCCCACACCCCTCGTTCCTCCCCTCACATCCCCCCCCACCCCCACCCCCCACACCCCACTTCCCAATCAGCCAAATTTACTCCCTCTCTCTCCCGGAAGATTAGCGACCCGCACGTCAGACTGGGGAAGCGGGGATCCACTCTCACCTGTTCAGAGATCGTTCAAAATGCACCTGTGACGGATGGACAGATTCATTTGGCGATTCATGGTCTCGAGTTCGGTGAAATGTACACTCACATACGCATATACACATAGCTAGGCATGTGTTTAAACACTTAGGAGATATACATATACATCTACACACACACACACGCAAATACATATATACATATATACATATATCATATATACATATATACATATATACATATATAATATATATATATATATATATATATATATATATATATATATATATATATATATATATATATATATATATATATATATATATATATATATATATATATATATATATATATATATAATATATATTATATAATATATATATATATATATATATATATATATATATATATATATATATATATATATATATATATATATATATATATATATATATATATATATATATATATATATATATATATATATATATATATATATATATATAATATATATAATATATATATATATATATATATATATATATATATATATATATATATATATATATATATATATATATATATATAATATATATATACATATATAATATATATATATATATATATATATATATATATATATATATATATATATATATATATAGTATTAAAGATTATTACATTATATTAAAGATTAAGATTACTCTCTAAAGAGCAATCTAAATCAGAAATATCTGAAAGGGAATCAAAACCTAAATCATATTTGTTCGCATGATATTCAATTACATCCTATCACTGTGTGAAACAAAAGAAATTAAAAAAAAAAAAGAAGAGATAAGGCCCAATAACCCTGCGAGATATCATAAATAAAACATATATGCGAGTTAATATTTTTTTTTCGGGCGGGGAAGGCAATAAAAATCTCATTAGTGTTGCAAAAAAATGATAATGATTTGGCAGTTATCGTCCCGGACACATTCAGAGAGCAAACAAATTTTGTCGAATTCTATTTGGAAAGTTAATTAACTGCAATAGAGCGAGGAAGGAAAAAAAAAAGAATAAATAGCGAAAGAGGAGGTAGAGAATATCATGAGAGGCATGAATCTATAAGATGCTGAATCATTTTTAAAAAGATTAATTATCTACAGAATCTGAGGAGAAAAGTTTTCGAGGAAATGAAGCGAGGGACAAAGTTTTCCGACTAATTAAAAAAAAAAAAAAAAAAAAAATGTAGTCTGATAAGATAAAAGTTTCTGGAATATGTTACAAGCATACACGAATAGTAGTTTAAATACTCAGATTAAAATTACTTGATTCAAATAATCAAAAATAATCAAAATCAAATAATAATCAAAATGAAATGACCTGATTCTGCCAATAAGATATGACAATTGCTTATTAAAATAAATAAATAAATAAATAAATACAATAAACAACAACTAGTACACAAACACCCATATAAAGGCAGATAACCAAGAAAATCAAATTAAATTCAAAATCATGTAAATAATTTGAATGAAATACCGTACAAAAATATATCTAAAAAAAAATATCCACGAATAATATGCCCCTAAAACTGTAGACAAAAATATACAAAAAAAAAACATTATATATATATATATATATATATATATATATATATATATATATATATATATATATATATATATATATATATATGTGTGTGTGTGTGTGTGTGTGTGTGTGTGTGTGTGTGTGTGTGTGTGTGTGTGTGTGTGTGTGTGTGTGTGTGTGTGTGTGTGTGTGTGTGTGTGTGTGTGTGTGTGTGTGTAACACATACACAAAATATGGCCCCCAATAAATATACACTAAATATACCCCAAAAATTATACATAAAAAACATACCCCAAAAAATGTACAGAAAATACCTTGTGCACGCGTGTATAATATACCTCAAAAAATCATCACAAAAAAAACACACAAAAAAAAAAACACACAACAAAAAAAAAAAAAAACACACACGCAAAAAAAATTCAGACCCCAGCTAACGCCACCTCCCAAGACCCAC